ATCTGTAGTATAGTTTTGTTTTATTAGGGAAAAACCAAGTTAAAGGGGGGAATTACGACGTTACGGTATGTAGGTATGTAGGTCGCAATGAGTAAGGGTGAATCAAAAGTCAACAGCTGGTATCTGAAATATATTTGCATTATGGTGTAGGTTTTTTCTTTGTCTGTATAGACTGCTACTTTTTTAGGGGTTTTCAAAATTGATAGGTCTATTTTATAACTTCGATATGGAGCAGCGAAGCTATTGGATTTTGCAATGATGTGAGCTTTTTTTTGTATCTGTAAACATTGTAACTTTTTCAATACTGGACCAATTCTTTTGAGTTGCAACTCTATAATTCACAAAATGTATCTACTTGGTATTGAGTCAGATAGACTTTAAATTAGAGTTTCAACATTTACTGGCTCTAATGTTTATTTTTATTTAACAAATAAAAGATCAGAGTATGGCATAATATTCTTGAAAACTAATTGGGTTTTTTTTTTTTTGTTACATCGAGATGCAAAAGTCAAATTACGGTAGCATATCACATGTGTTTTGTGTATATTTAAACAAGCCAAGGTTAGACGACGAAATGTGTTAACACCAACAGTGAAAATAAAATATAGTAGATAGTAAACCTATGTAAAAAAATATTTTACAGAAAAATACTTCAAATATTATGTTATTTGCAAAACATCCATGATGTTCACCATATTTCATCTTACTTCCATTTAAAGTATTAACCGCACGTTTTCTTGGGAAATAATGCACATTAACCATTATAACAATTTATTAAAACTAATTTTCTTCATAGCAACAGTATAAGTGATTTATTAATTAAATAAGCCGCTGTCAGATTATACTGATTTAATAGTGTACCTATGTATACAGGGTGACTGATTAATTATGACCCAATCAATATTATAAAAAATGAAACACTTTTTAATTAAATTAAATATGACTGTGGAACGCTTCCAGTATGGATTCTTTATTTTATACAATATGTTATTGATATAAAATTGACCTCTATCTTCTGTCTAATTTTCAGCTTTTAAATATTGAAGGAATTCACTTTTTTGGCTTTTAATACCTTTCTCAGGTCCTCGTGAAGCTTATGTGTATTATTTGCTATTATTAAGCTAAGCCAAGTCCGCTAAGGTTAATTTATATTTTTCATCGTCAGAAAACGAGTTATTTACCATTTTTATAAAGTTTTAATGATTTGAATATAATATTTATAAATTACACAAGTAATAAAGCAACCGATTAAAACAAAAATAACCCACACACCCATTAAAATGTTAAGAATAAATACATAAAAACTAAAAAATAAGATATCAACATAGTAAAGTGATTTTTCTTTTTTTTAAGAGACAAATTAAATACTTTAGTTTTTCTTTTTGAATTCACTGAACAACGGTAGATGTTGTAGTAAATTTGTAGCCCTGAAATATTGATATAATAATTAATTTGCAATGCGATAATAATACATTATATGAAATTATATATACAACCCTGTGGGAAACATTGACAAACCAATAAATAATCAAAAGCCGTTTACTACCAGAAAGGGTGAAAACAGTATCTATATTTCTGTTTCTGGGGGTAGAAATAAAAAGTGATTTTTTTATTTACGGTTATATTAATTCCTTAAGACCCGTGACCTCCCATATCTTAACAATATGCTCCGTCTCCATTATGTCCGATCCCGCTGTACTGGCTTTTTATTTTTATATTTACTATTTGTTGAACTAATAATTAACTCAAACAAGCCTAAAATATGTGGAAATCTTTATTTCTATTTATCGTATTAAAAAAAACAAATACAGCTAAAATATGTTATAAAGAAACTCAAAATGTATTATTAAAAGGGTGAAAAATATTACTTGCTCAGAGGCGGCGAATTTATAAATCCACTCTATTCATAGTAGCTTCAAACTCGTCGAATGTCATATCTTCACCAACTAGAAATCATAACAAAATTATTTATATTAAAATTTACCAAACTATATTATTGTTGACGGGTTGCAATTGCTATTATTATTATTTCATTTTTATGTACAATAATTGGCCTTAACGGGTATAATTAAAAGTCATCAAGAAACATAATTTTGTTTGTTAACTTCTTTAGTTTTTAGGTAATCTAAAATCGTGTCTAAAAAAAATGTCACGTGGAATTACATAAAATTAATAATCCAATATTAATTACAATGAGTCAAATTGTTATAAAATTGTTTTATAACATATCTGGTAGAACAGGAAGATACGATTGGGTTTACATTGTTATATCTAACTTGTTTCTCCCAACTATTTTTACAGACGACTTCTGAATAATATTATAAGTCTCCCTCAGATAACACACTACCTAGTACCTATCGATAATAATTTTTGTACAACGTCAAAGTAATTATTAGTTATTAACATTTCACATATATATTTTACAATATCTATTACTCAATCATTATTTAACGTACTCGGCGGCAATTCTTCTGTTATCGTCTCCATGCTTTCAGGTGTTAGTTGATAATTTTTATATTTTTCGTCTTGACATAAGTAAAATCTAACTTCAAACCTGTTAACTTTTCCCGTAAAATGGTCAGGAGAATCAAGATAATATAGCAGATGGAACTGTCTTAAACTAAGCGCTTTGGCGCCATAATAAATGTCATGCAATTGCTAAAATTCATTAAATTTTTGTTGTTAATATACATTTTGAACACTATTATTACAGAAATAATAATTTTTTCTAGTATATAATTCACTAGGTTTATAGAGTATTTAGTTATTGTTATTATTATTATTTTAATTAATCATACATTAAGGTATGAGATTATTTAATTACCTGATTAGTAAATCTTGCTGCGTTTGTTACTTGAAAAAAACAAAACAAGAATAATAAGATATTGACAATTTGTATTTTTTTTTAATCATATTAAAAAAAAAACAACTAAAACTAAAATATGTTACAAAGAAACGCAAAATTTATTGGTAAAAGGGTGAAAATATTACTGAATACTACTACTCACATACTCTATTCATAACATCTTTAAATTCCTCGAATAAGATATCTTCATCAACTAAAAATCATAACAAAATTATTCATATAGAAATTTACCAAACTATATTATTATGTTGTAACGAGTTGACTGGTTGCAATAAGGAAACAATAATTTTTTTGTTCAATCTTTCAATTTTCAAATAATCTAAAACGGTGTCGAAAAAAAATCTTGTAGAATGTCATAAAATTAATATTCTAATATCAATTACAATGAGTCAAATTGTTATAAAATTGTTTTATAATATATTTGGTAGAACAGAAAGATACGATTGGGTTTACATTGTTATATCTAACTTGTTTCACCCAACTATTTTTACAGACGAATTCTGTTTAATATTAAAGCATCCCTCAGATAACACACTACCTATCGATAATTATTTAGGTACAACATCAAAGTAATAATTATTAGTTATTAACATTTTACATACATATTTTACAATATCTATTACTGAATCATTATTTAACGTACTCCCCGGCAATTCTTCTGTTATCGTCAGCATGCTTTTAACTGTTAGTTGATATTTTTCATATTTTTCGTCTTCATATAAGTAGGTTCTTACTTCAAACTTGTTAACTCTTCCCTTTTTAAAATGTTCAAGAACATCGAATTCTAGTGCTTGGAACCGTCTTAAACTAAGCTCATTGGTGCCATCATAAATTTCTCGCAGTTGCTAAAATCATTACATTTTTGTTGTTTATATACAATTTGAACACTATTATTACAGAAATACTACTTTTTTCTACTATATTATTCACTAGGTTTTTAGAGGATTTAGTGATTATTATAATTATTTAAATTAATCATACATTTTTAGGCGTGAGATTATTTAATTACCTCATCAGTAAATCTTGCTGCGTTTGCTACTTGTAAAAAACAAAACAAGAATAAAAAGATATTACTATATTTGAAATACATGATGATTTTTTTTTTTAAAGAGAGACTTGTTGTTTAGTAGGAATTTAGAACTTTAATGGTTCTTATTATTTTGTAAAGGCTCACGTTATAGCGATTTTAGTGTAAAACTTTCTATCATATATATATATATATGCTATTTGTTCAATATACATTAATGTGTACTTATAATAGTCATGACTGTCAATCGTAAAAAATAATTATTTTACCGGTTTGACAAATACAAAAAAATTACCTACTACTTCTTTACACGACCGTCGTATGTATATACTATGTACTGTATGTAATGTACTTTGATGTTATCGCTTTTGAAAACCAAACATTTTATAGAATAAATTGATTTCCATAATACTATTGCTTTGTACAGTTTATTGTTTTTATTAGGTTTCTTCGAAATAAATACACCGGTAAACTTACCAGTTATGCTAAAAATGCTTGATTTCATTCACTCTGTAGTTTTATAACCCGAATAAAGCGAGGCTTAAACGTAATACTAACAATTGGATGCGATAATAATTCAGTATATAAAATTATATCTACAACGTTGTAATATCCTTCGTTCGGGGAAGTGACTGGTCTAGATTAATAATTGTTACAACTAAAAATAACGAATTTACTCTATATAAAAAAAAACGCCTTAGAAGACAGTAATGTGCAAAAAATTGTATTTACTTTTGATGATCTACTCTAACTAAACAACCTAAAAATTTACCCCTGTCAAAGGGTAATTTGTGTCCTTTTCTCTTTGGATTTTATAACCCCACCTGAAGATCTATCTTCAGTCATATTTCAGTCAGACCTCAGTCACAAAACTATAAAAGTTGAATAAAAAAAAAAAACATGATAACTCTTTTTGGGCGATGTCAAAGCACTTATATTTCTGGAGGTAAAAATAAAGTGATTTTATTGTTATAGGGGTTATAAAAAAAATCCAATTTTCTTAACATTCTTCACTGTTGGTGGGTTAAAAAAATTCGGTTATTGATACAATTATTATTTGTTAAAAACTCCATTATTTCTGTGTAGTTTCATTATAAGTCTACTATAAATTGAATTTGTATTTTTCTCATGGCCAGGAGAGGAGGGATAGGGGAGGGGGAATCCCACCCATCCTCCCGCCCTCTGGATATCTATATCTCTCTATTTTAATCTCTTGAAGATGCGGTGAGTCATATCAATATGAACAATACTAACCCCGTTAGGAAATTACCCATGAAATACATCTGTATATTGATATTAACAATCGCCCGAACATCTGAAAACTATAGTAGGTATTGAAATATGGCTTATGTTTGTTTTTCGCAGTTGTTGTTTTTACTAAAAAAACATGTTAGAAATACTGCAAGTACTCAACGCGAAAAACATAACGCAAAATTGTTAGAAACAGTTTTACTTCCAAGCACACCACGTACATAATAATTTATTCCACGTACATATTTTTAATTGCAGTATGTTTTTAAGTAGTTTTACAGTACTTTTGTGTTTTGCATGTTTTATTGGGGAAAATGATGCGTCAATCGAGACCAATTCAACGGAGGTACGTAAATAATATATATTATCTAAAGCTTTTAAATATGAAACAACTTGTAGTAAACGGGGTCAAAAAAATATTTTTTCTTACAACAAAACATTGATAGTAGAAGATAATAGTATACGGGTACAATGTAATTGAATTTTTACTAATAATACCAAACAATTAGCAGCACAGAAATAAACCATCGTGGAAATATTTATTTTTTCCTTCTTTTTTTTTTAAGAGTTTTTTACTAGTTATAAATGGTATATTTAGACAAAATGATAGTCTCGCAATGATATCGACGAAATGTATACAAAATGTCTTTGCACTGTTTGTTCTACACAAATTGGTCGTGTTGTTTACCACAAAATGTATTCTCATGTAATACACTTAGGTTGTGATTCCGAGCGAGGATGTGAACGATGGATGGCATGAGAAATTTCATATGTACGACCAAAACAATGATGGTTTGATCTCCGCAATGGAACTACAGCAAATGTTATTCAAAGAGTCAATAGGACTCGTTACTATTCGCCAAGCAAAAAGATATATATCTTTATTGAATAGAGACGGTAATATATTTCAGAAAAAAAAAAATATATATATATATATTATAAACATATACACAGGATGACCAACTTATCGTGAACCACTCAATATCTCACTGGTTTTAATAAGTAATTACATTTTTTCTCTACATAATATTTTTATACAATGTGATCTTAATTGTTCACAATTTTTTTTTGGTTTCACCCTCCTCCCAACTTAGTTTTTTCGATTACAACTTTTGAAACTTAAATGGTAACGCATACATTTCATTATTTTTTTTACTTGATAATAATGTACTAGAATTTTTGTCTGGTCGATTAACAGTTTTGTGTTACTATTTTTGAAGTTATTGAAGTTTCAAGTTCAGTACAGGAGGAAATGTGGAGTGCAGTATTGTTTTTATCTGCGCGAATTTCCCATTCGCACTTCCCCCCACCCATCCTAACATTTAAACTCTATGCGTTACCATTTAAGTTTCAAAAGTTGCTATCTAAAAAACTAAGTTGGGAGGAGGGTAAAAACAAAAATAAATTGTGAATAATTGAGTTCACGTTGTATACAAATTGTATGGAAAAAAAAATTGAATTATTAACTAAACCCAGTATGATATTCAGTGGTTCACGATAAGTTGATCACCCTGTATTTTGTATTAATTTCACTCTACAATTGTAATAAATATTTTCAGGTAACGTGCAAATTAAATTAGAAAAAATCAAACCGATAGTGGATATTATGACAGAGGTTAATTCCGTTGTATTATTGTTACGCTATATTATTATTATTTTTTTTTTTCGTAATTGTGATTTCCACATTGTGGTCTATGATATATCTGTGAGATACTTAGGACGTAACAGACATTATAAACTCTAAATGAGTACAGTGGGGTCGAGGCATAGTAGGAACGGTGATTTTTTTATCGTGTGCCACTCACTGGGTTGAATTAAAATTATTTTTTTTCATAGTGTTTTTATGTAAAATTATCTCAATTTCTCACAAATTTTCATGTTTTTATTCTCCTCCAAAATTAGTTTTTTTGATAGCAACTATTGAAACTGAAATAGTAACGTATATACCTTATTTACTTTTTAAATGGAGGATAATGTACTGAAAATTTGTCTGGTCTATAACCAGTTTTGAACAACTATTTTTTAACTTTTAAGAGTTTAAAAGTTAAAACGGGGGGAAAGTGCGCGCAGATAAAAATAATAATACCTCAAGAACATCAAAATTAGTTATCCAAAACTTGTTATGGACCACTCAACATTTGTAGTATATTCTTCTCTATTTAAAAGTTAATGAAATGTACTCACATACAGAGCAATCTAAAATTGTATAAGACGTCGTAGTCCCCTTTTAGAATTACCTTCGGTATATTTTTCAGACCTTAAGGCCTAAAATTTCATTTAAACAATAGAAATAAACAAAATGTTTCTGGCCCTTCAATTTTTATATATTCCATACAAATTTAGAAGTAATTACATTTTTATTAAAACTATAGAGCGCTACTATTTTAATTTGAAACTACGAGTATGTACATATTTTAAAAGATTTTTTAACGCATACTTTGGATCGAATATAAATATGAAATTGATTTTAAAAACTTATACGCGTCTGAAGTTTTTGTGTTTTCAGTTTTGTTGCAACTTATTAATAAGGAAGGAAAGGAAGAATGAATGAAAACTTAAAAGAGATTTTACCCTGATACTGTTTCGCTTTAATTCATAAAAATGATATAATTAAATATAATCATTGTTTTTAAACATTATTCAGATACACACAAAAACTATATATATATATATATTTTTAAACCTTTCCAAATAAGTCGTTATAAAGTTTACATGACATGCATTTCTGATATTATTTTAGAAAAATACATCGAGTGTAGTGGATGATGACTGTCCATTCAACGATGAAGACAATTTTCCGGTAGCAGCTCTTCAGGCAATACTGTTTAAAGAATGTAAACAGAACTTTTTCAACGCGCTAGACGAAACTAAAGAAATAACTAACCTTATCGATCAAGACGGTAGTAGGAAACTTATATGTTGAAATTCATTTTTAAAATATTTACTACAACTGTTTTCAGGAAATGGTCAAATTGATTGTGACGAGTTCCAGGGAGTAGAATTAATGATGGAAGCTTCGTTAAAGGTTAATAGTTTATGTATTAACTTTGTTTTTCGTATAGTATTTTTTCCTAAAATTTATATAAATAATTAGTCAGTAATTAAATGTTGACGTGTGAATTTTTATTTTTAAATACTCTAAAATACTTTATTCAAACACTTTTTCCGATTTAGGTGTAATATAATCAAATTTATAGAAATATACTTGGTGAAAAGATGACATTCCAAGTTTGTCAACTCGCATATGCCTTCAATCATCTTTAAACGTATTCTTTATATGTATACATATGATTTCATCATGAAACCCTTCAATTTCTCATTGGGTTTAACTAATATTAAAAAAAACATTTTATAGTGTTTTTTAATAATGTGATCGCAATTTTCCATACATTTTTATGCATCTCCCAAACTTAATATTCTATACCAGTTTTGGATAACTAGTTTTGATGGTTATTGAAGTTACAAGTTTATCGCAGGAGGAAAGGTGGGGTGTAGTATTATTTTTATATGCGTGCACTTCCCTTCCTTTCTAACTTTTAACCTCTTATAAGTTTAAAAGTAGTTGTTGAAAATTGGTCGTCAACCAGTTAACATTTTTAGTAAAATATTCTTAATTTAAAAAGGTAATAAAGTATGTACGTTACCATTTAAGTTCGTTATTGTAAAAGTGAATACAGTAGTGTTATAGTGTTTTCAAAATGTATAAGATTTTTCTTAATTATTCTTTTAGTTGCACATTTTATGTGAGATGTTTACTGTAATGGACATAAACAAAAAAGGCGTTATTACCGCTGATGTGATTGCTGACTTTTCAGACTTTGTACACTCGAAATTGGCCAAATCCCAAGAAGCCAAAAAAGCCATAGAAAACTTTGATAAAAACGGTAAATACTTAATAGAAGACAACAAAAATGTAGTAAAAATTGTTATTGATTAATACCTGAATGTTTTTCCAGGCGACGGTGTGGTGGATTTTTCCGAGTTTTTAAATAAAATCGTTAGTCTTAGTAAAGTTGAATTTACTTTACTTGACGAATTCGCCAAGAAGTTTGTGCTGGACGACATTTAGATTAATTACTTTAGAATAATGTTTTAATTTATCACTAGTATAATTTTTTATTAAAACATTTCTTTGTTGTATTGCAATCCTTTTTTCAAATTCCATTAATTAAATACAAAATTATTTCGCCTAATTTTTAATCAAAATTGTTGACTATAGTTTTATAACTTATTGTGCTATCTCTACAAAAAATTTTGTCAATATTTAATTTAACCAATATATAATTAATCATTGCGAATATAATAATGATACTATTGATAAGACAGACAACTACGATTAAAGAATAATACAAATGTAAATTCAAAATAGAAAAATCGTTAAACCGAGTGCATAATAACAATAAAAAATAATCGTTTACAAATTAGTACTTCGCAAAACAGAAAATAACGGGAAACGACATTTTTTTAAAAGTTTAATCGACTTAAATTATGCAATTTGATTTAACTAAATGCTCATTCGAAAATTCTAATTATTCGTTAGTTGAATGACATATCATATAAAAGTATTAAAAAGTGAAAAAGATGCGATGAAGCACGCTGTTCATTCGTGTAGCTAAATTGCCTTCACTTGACGCCTTTTTCTAAACAAGTGCGTTTATTGTCGATTGCAAATAATACAACTTTGGAATCGCGCACTTTAAGGTAGATTCAATGTCGAGATTAAAATAGAGACCACGGGTATATCTGAGTACTAAGAACTAAAAAACAAACCTGAATCGGGTATTTGAAACATCACATGTTTGGCAAAACAAAAACAGAAAAACTCATTTGACAAAAAAAAATTATTCATTTTGAATTTAATTGATAACGAAAAACATTCAACAAAAAATTAAACATATACTTAAAATGGTACATTTTTTTACGAAAAATCTTTAATAAACTAGTTTTACTACTATTGTTTCGAAAATAATTGTGGACTTATTGAATATTATGATCAAATAACTATATATTAGTTTTGTACTAGATTACGCAGTAGGCAGCAGCCCACAAAATTAAAAACAACAATTAAAGACCAGTCACCAATTATTTTGAAAAATGACAAATTCCAAAAATGTTACGCCGTGACAACCAAAATATAAAATATAGGCATTTATTAAAAAACAAATCTTGAGCAACCGACGTTTACTTTTGCAAAATTGAATCAATTTTTAAAAAATGTAATCATTTAATATGCTTACACTTGTAGTGTACTTGGTCAAAAATGCTATATAGTCCCTAGGAAACTAAACATTTTAGATTTCAAAATTCAGTTTTTAAAATTTCCTTTATTCATTTATCGCATGGTCGTATGATGTAACTTATAGTATTTGGTAAAATAATTGTATCTTATAAACTTTGCCATGACTCTTAATAACCAAAATTCAAAATCGACTCATTAATACATTGTTTAACAATCAACATATTTTATCGTGCACAATATTAAAATAATGTGATTTAGTTAGTATTGTACAATTTTATTTTATTTTTTGTGCTGTGAAAACTAAATTGTATGCAGTGTGTTACATCATATTATATTATTAAAAAAAGAAAAATAGTTACAATCTTGTGTTTAAATAAGTAACATAAACACAATTTCTTCGCCAACGACCATACCACGTTGAATACACCAGTTCTCGTCCGATCACTGAAGTTAAGCAACGTCGGGCGTAGTTAGTACTTGGATGGGTGACCGCTTGGGAACACTACGTGCCGTTGGCATATTTTTTTTGCTTTTTACAACTGTACACTATTTTTTTGTAGTGTTGTATGAACTTAAATTGTACGTCCACAGGCGGATAGGCTTAATTTATTTTTATCGGGAAAATATATGAAAACAGCCGAACTCGCGGGAGCCAACGCTCTGCAAACCCTCAACGGGCACAAAATGTGTTATTAGGTATACCCGTGAGTGAAAATCCCTCACAGATCTGCATCTAAGTTAAACAAATTGACTAGGTATTGTAAAAATCAATACCTTTTTTGTTTCTTAATTAATACAAATAATAATAATACGTTTTTTTCGGTTTTTAGGCTGACTTTACCACCCTTTATGCGTAATAGCGGCCCCGGTTCGGGTATATTAAACAAATATAACAAAAATTGATAAATTTAATGTTTTATACATATTTTACCAGCATTTCAAGTATTCAACTCATTCAGCAATGGGCATCAGGTTGATACATATTTCATCACTATTATTAATAGGAACCACTCAGACCGTTCAAACACCTTCCAGCGAACTGGTTGCGATCATCGTCGCTAGACAGTCATGACCAAGCAAATGGTAGACCACTAGCAGCCTCACGCTCTGGCAAATGAACTAGTCTCATCATCGTGGCTGACGACGACTCCAGATTTGCACCTGGAGGGGACGATGCATACTACAGAAATGATCCTGTGAAGTATGATCTTAACTGGAACGATTGCCAACGATCCATACTTATGGTCGTCATCAGTGAGTTAACCGGAGTTACCCAAAGTGATCGAGTAAAACTGTCAAAAGTAATTTTCACCCCACGCGTAATATTTAATATACTTATTTTTTGCACACGACTTGCGTTAGACGACGCCTAGTTGTTTTCAATCAATAGTAAACATTCACAGTCAATTGTAAGTATTTCGTATCGTCCATCGAAGTCACCGGCTTAATAGTAGTTCACAAACAGAGCCATCTAGTGTCAACAATTTACACCTAATAGACAGCAAAAAACCTAGAAATGAACTATTTACATTTTACTCCAGTATCGTCACAGCTATTACATTGTACTATTGATTATATCCTGTTTATTTCATTATCGTAATCGTTAGAGCAAAAAGGTTAACTTTATTTTGTTGATTGTTCAGGTACAAAGTGTTGAACACTAAAAAAAATAATAGGAAAAAGTAAAAATAGCCATAATAGACTCAAGTCCTCGGGTACCTATTTGATTCTATATATGAATGACTGTAAGTTTCCTTATGTAATATAACAAAGCATAGCACAAACACAATGTGAAAGATTTACTACCGTGTGTATCAAAATATGACCTAATCTCATATTGAAACTTGTGTTATACGAATAAAAAGACTGTTTATTGTTCACTAAATTGTGTAGGTATCTTTTTCAAAAAATTAAAACTACAAAGCTTAGGAAAAAACGTTTAAAAAGATACAATTTAAATTTGATGCGATGGCGGGGTTCACTGACGATATACTCTTATCACAAAATATATTCTTTCAAATTTTAATGTGTGATAATAATATTATTGTTCTTGATAAATAATAATATACTTTATAGTACTGAAGATTCTAAGACCACAAGTCATTATGTATCAATAATTGTTATATTAGTGTGTATAGTAGTAGTTGTGTTTACTGTTTAGTGTTTTGTGCCGTTTCCACCATAGGCCCCTACAGAAAATATTAATAATAAAACTCCGTCCAAACGTACACGAAGTAAAGTCACTTGTTTAACGAAAACTCCAGTAAAGAATATCCGATAAAGCAATCTTCATTCAAGATGCCAACAATGAAAATGTTTATTATCAAACCGACCAACAAACCAACAGTAGTTTCAATGAGTAATTTTGTCGGTCACTTTTACGCTACAGAAAAACGGTTAGAATCTCCCGTAACTCTAACTAAGAGCAGGGAAATGCTTTATGAATCAAGTTCTTATGCACAAATTTCTCAATGTATTAAATGTTTAAAGCAACAATTAAGAACTGTTATCCGCAAATACTATCTCATTGAAATTTAGCAAAATATTGTAGCGGATGAGCATGGCTGGACGTTAATTAATTCTACGACTTCAAGATGACCGTGAGTACGTATGTAAAAGGGCTGTACAGTACCTTAATAACTTGCTAACAGCCAAATAGACTTTAAACCGCCGAATTATGTATTCAAAGTTCATGGATAGTTATTACTTATAAATGTATTTACTTTTGAATTTTTTTATTTTTCAGTTACTTACACCAAGGGATTGATACAACAACAACAAGCTTACTACTGAACATAAATAAATTCATTTTGCTGAATTTAATCAAGTTAGACTCGAGAGATGTCATAGTTAATTTATAGAAAATGATGCAAGTATGAAACTTCAATTGTCCTACATTTGATAACATTATTGTATTTTTTGTTCTTGATTCATTTTCGTATTTACAGATCGATGTATACTTAACAAAAGCCAAGTTCTGCTCTGAATGCTTAAAACTTCTTGATACAATTAAAAAGTAAATAGTTAATTCAATATAATAGCACAATAAATATTTTAATTTTTTAAAAATACAATTATAGTAAAAAAATAAAAATTGAAATACTTAATAAAATAAAATAAATATTTAAATCCAAAGCATAAAGTGCATGAATATCTTAATTATATTGGATTAATTTAAACTTAATAATATACTTTATAAATAAAAAAATACGCTATAAAATAATATATACCATTTTACGCTTAATAAATTCACGTTTTCAACCATTGTTTTCGGTACTTTTTTTTATAAAAGAGTTTCGCCGTTATTTATTATTCGTTGACATACTGTATATATTAATTTTATTATATATATATATTTTTTTTAAATTTCATATCATTTTTTTTTCTTTATCCAGATCATCAACGACATGGACGTCAAAGGAAACAACGAGAATCGGATGTTAATTCAAGTTGACGCATCGCCGTACTGATTTTTTTTTTTAACTGCACTTATAAAATTAATTTTTTTCCCTAGATTTCTTGATATATTTTTATGAAAAATTATGTTTGTTCAATGAATCTAAATAGCAGAGTAATATTATTATTATGTATACTTTACACAAGTTAAAAACCTAATAATTACGTTATAATTGAAAAAAAACCAACCAAATAAATTATTTGTAAAAAAAAAAAAGTTTATTTATCTACTAAAAACAAAACATTGTTTTTTTTTGTTTTTAGTTTGTAAGTAGAAAAAATTTTATTTTTTATGAATAAAATATAAGTTATTATTGTTAGTAAAAACAGGTAACTTGATCAGTCATTACTTTCCAAAGCAAATTGTAGTAATTTTTAAACATAACTGTATGGACGTTACACATAAAAACAAATTGTGCATTATAATTTTAAATTAGTATATTTTTTATTCGAATATTTTATTAAACGTATTGATTTAAATAGTTTTTTTACTATTACAATATTATCACATGTGAATTTCTTTATTAAAATTAATTTCTTTTTATTCTTATTAAATATAAGTATCATTAATAAGAAATAGTTTAAACAAAACAAATGTTCAATTATAGCTCATATTTATTGTAAATTAGTAGATAATTTGTCCGACCGATGAGACAGTATGCAGGTATCGTTTCCTCTGTGCCGTATCGTGTATGTTGCCGTCAGTAATAGTGCTACAGGCTTTTGAGAAAAATTATGTATCTATATAATACTATTATGCCTATAATGGCATAATAATGTTATACAGGTACATAATTTTTTTTTATAAATGTTTATAATTATTTTTAAAAAATGTGTTTAAGTTATAGAAATAGAAATTGTAGCAACATATGACATAAGCGTGTATATTATATAAGTTTTTATTTTAGTTTTACACTAGCACACAATTATTTTAACGACCAGTTTTGGTTGCGGCGGTTAATAATAAAATCCTACTACTTTATACAATATTTAAAAATGAATGTAAAATACTAAAATTTGCCTACAGAAAGACCAATTTCTATTCACCAACCTATGCAATTTTTTCTTCTTTATTACTATTTTATTTAGACGATCAACAACTTGACAAAAATATATTTTAATTCTACAGAAAAGTATATTTTCAAAAAATTATTATTATACTATTTTTGTGACTGTTAGGATATCGTTTAACAAAATATCATACGAGTAAATTGAGATTTACAAAAAACTTATACATTTTAATTGTCAATGGATATGTACAGAATATTAAACACACAAATATATATATATTTTTTTTTTAACAGGTATAGTGTACATAGTAATTTATAATATTTTAAGCGACCCTAGTTCACGGTTTGTTGTTGTTAGAAAACTTGTATTTTATAAGTTTACTATTAGGCTGCTGCAACTTGATGGCAAACATTTTGAAAATAAACGATAGCCATTATTTTAAATTGGTAACTATAGCAAACAGATTTAAACAAAAAGGTATGTTGTAAGATTCGCTGGAGAATTTCAATTGAAGTGGAAAATATGATAAACGAAGAACTGCATTATTAAAAGTCAATAAAATTAATGTTTTTTTAGGGAGTTGTCGAGCATCCTCAGAAGTAATTAAATCGTAGCCTGGGGCTTTCTTAGGTGGAAAGGAACAAATACAATTCTTAACTTCACCAGGAGGAAAGGATTTAGGTGGGAGATCCATAGGTAAGATGAGGTTGAACAACTTGGCTGAAATGAGATCCAAATAAAACGGCTGTGCCTATATAATATTGTACACAATATCCATTTCAGGAAATAACAGTCCGCAATGATTATAATAGTAATTCGTATTGTCCAACTTGCTTTTTTAATTAATAGAGTAACTAAAGTTGTTAATACTTAGGTTTGATGTTGAAATGTAATATGATATAGAATTGTCATGTACCATATAATATATTATGTCAATATGCGCATAAGGATTATCGTTTATAGATTATTCTATAGTTTGAACGAAATTATTTCCTCAGATTTTTTACAAATTGTGTGTACATCAATCTCTACTACAATAAGGTATTATCCATATGGAATTGTGCTACTAAAGAAAATGATCAAGAATTGGATATTACTTCCTCTGAATTTGTTATATAATATGAAAAAAATACCATGTTTGATATTAAAAAAATCACTAATTTAGATACCTTTTTTAAAAAAAATGTATATACATACATATATATATGTACATCTTATACCATTGTACTCTTACCAATTTTACTCATAACCGTCACACATAATAGTCTTTTAATCAATACATAGGTTCTCGCCAAAAGTTATGTATGACGACGAGGACTATAGTAATTATTTCCATGGCATCTTATATTATGTTATTATTCGTTAAAAGTAGACGCGCTACCTCGTAAGACATTATAGTTTCGTTTTTGGGCTTAGGTGCCGAGGCTAACAACGCATGTTACATGCTAAAATTCACTAACATCATATTATTCTGTGCCGGCCAAAATTGTGTTTGTATTTAACTAAGGCCATCTGTAAAAACGCGTAGCTTTTTCGTTACCCATAGAACAAATTGAAGAGTCATACTGCAACGAAAGCATTGAAATTCAGCACAGTGTTGTATCTGACTTCCACTTTTCTAGTTGTTCTTTATTGTCAAGATATTTCACAGTGAATAAACAAAAAAAATGATGTGGAAAATTATAGTTCTGTTGCCGTGTTTTGACGTTTTAGTGAACGCTGGTATAGATTCACCATATTTTACGGGTTCTTCAAGCCAGGTAAATATAATCGAGTAATGTCTTTTAATTTATTTTTTAGTAGGTAAAAAATACATTTTACGTTTTTCAAAACTCCACAAAATGTGTTGAGTTCTTAGGATAAACAATTTTATCATACTATACATTTTTTTTAAATTCAAAGAGTGAAGAAGTGACCTTTTTTAACTTAGACCCAGTGGCGGCTCGTGCCATGGAGCACTTGAGCAATGCACCACCTATTATTTAAAGAATATTAATTATTTTACAGAAATATAATACATAATAACATAATATTCTATAGTTGTACTATTCTAAAAAATAGTAAAAAAGTAAAAAAAAAATTTACTACAATAACAATTTAAATTTTTTTACAATTTTAAATAATATTTTATTGTAACATCGTTAATTTTTGACTAAAAAGAAAAGCGTGGGCCCTATTCAATAAATTCCCAAATTTATTATCAGATAAATTTCATGCAATGTTTTATGTTAAGTTTTTTTGTTGTCAAGAAAACTAAGTTGGAAATGGTGTAAAAACAAAAAAATTGTAATAACATCGTATAAAAACAATATGAAAAAATAACATTTTATATTCTTATTAAACCCAATGAGAAATGTATTATTGTTGTTATGTTGTTATGTAAACGTGTATTATTGTTATAATAAATAAATTCTCTTATAAATAGAACCTGGACCCATACCGCACTTTTAATGGATGGGTAAATTCACTAGACACAAGAAATGCAAACTTGTCATCTGTGGTTCGTTTTCCTAGCCCTGAATTAAAAGTAATTTTTGTATAAAATACTACATTATTCAAAAACATGTTTAACCATTTTTATTTTTTAAGAATACCGCAAGGGACAAATTGAAGTTAAGTAAGTGTCCACCTGGTGATGTGGAAAGTCTTATTACGAGGAGTAGTTGGGATTACTGGCCTAATTATTTAAGATTAGATCAGGAACCTTTTGTAAACTTAAGTTATATTAATGGATTGAAATTTAGAAGCATTCCAGGACTATCAGCAGTAGTCGCGTCGGTTCATGAAAACTCTATAGGAGGGCTGCATTTTCCAGGAATTTTATTATTTTTCTAGCATACTACGCTTATCTAAAACTTTTATTTGTTTGTTGAATTAAATAAAATGAGTGTGTTATTGATCTAGACATTGATTTAATAACGCCATAATATTCCTTCCTCTAATTGATTTATACTCCTCAGCGTTTAGAATGTTCTAAATTACTTGTTTTTTTTAATGTGGCGATTTATTTGCTCTTACCGTACAGATCTCAAAAAATATACGTCACAAATAATATTAACCTTTACAAATTGGTAAAAGTGGTTATTTCTTATTGACGTACAAAATGTAATCTATAATACGTGATAATTACGAAACGATTTAAAATTATATATATATATATATATATATATATATATATTTTATTAATTGAATTTAGGGTGATCATATTATCGTGAACTATTGTATATTGTTTTTATACAATGCGATTTAAATTTTTCACCATTTTGTAATGGATTTTTTCTTTGAGCATACCCGTCTTATAAATTTTAGATTAAACAACAGTTTGGGGTCAAAGGTAACTCCACGATCCTCGACTTGGGCGGAACGACACAAATTGTGGTCAGATAAATTAGATAGATAGATTTGTTTGTTTATTATCTAGTCTATTCCAATAACTCGTTTCTACGTCTGATTCGTCCATTTATTATTCTTACTTTATTTTAAAATGTCTACTGAAATGCAGTCGACGGGTTCATTGTTTATATTTATATCAAAATGTATAAATTTTAAGTTATCTTTATTCTTGACTATACGTTTATTAATATTATCAAAATTAAATACGAACAAAGTGAAATACAACAAATTAAAATGAAAATAGTCAGTAAATCAGTATTACTAAAAATGTTTTTCTTTAGATACAACATTATAAAGATTATTAATTTTACAACTATGCTCTACTTACTAACTATTTTAACAAAATAATATCTTTAATTATGTATACAAACATTTAATGGACACGTTTAATACCTACAAAAACAAAATTATTAAACAAATACATTTTCAAGGTTCCATTTCTCTGGTTCTTTACTACCCTACCACTTCGTGTAGTATTAACAACTTCTTTGTTAACCTCCTTCCTTGGCCAGCTATTTTTATCTTCCTAATTCTCGCTTTAATATTCTAAATCATTGTAGTCCATACCCTTTTTAAATTCGTTAGGGGATTAAATACCATGTATTCCTTCTAATTTTATCCAATAGTACCTTGGAGTATTTGCCTTTAGTCGTTGAAATTCAATACAGTTAATGTAGAAATCTAATTTTTTAAAAGAAATTTTAAAAGGCTTCGTCTCTTTTGATTGAGGTTATAAACTTTAAAGTTCGATATATCTAACTATACAGGTTTACTGTAAGATATTGCAAAAATTATAAGGGAGAAAAAATTACAATAACCTTAAAATATCATTGTATGATAAAAACCATAAATGGTAATTTTATGTATATAATGGTAATTTTTCATAATTTTAGAAAATCGCCAATAAGTCAGGTGGGGCATTTTTAAAATCCTGTATTCGTCGATGTTGGGTGCACATTATTCTAACGCAGGCCCAATGTGGGTATCTAAATAGTGTTTACAGCGTTTTGAACGTGTATAATTTTTTTTACTTTTTATAAACGGTTCGGTTCGTTTATGTAAACAGTGGAAATGGAAGGTCACATCAAACCACACAAGTGTTTTTCTAAAGTAAAAAAAAAATGTGTTTTCGAGTTAACGCAAGAAAAAAAATGTTGTTTCGTCAAGGCGAGAAGTCGATAAGTAATACTTAATAAAAAAAAAATGATATTTTTACATTTGAGCTCGGTGTAACTTTTCCAACACATGATAAAAAAAATGTATTGACGGACACCCGTTTAAGGGATCGCACGTCAAATTAAAAAAAAAAAGAAACAAGGGGAAAAAATCAGCTCCAACAAATTTAGTTTTTTAGCTATTATATGATAATATAATTATGATAAAGGAGAATGTTTGCAAGGCTCTCTATTAAAGGTTTTCACATAGGTATTACACGCAAGAGCAGTGTATATAGTAAAGTTGAACAAAAATGTCACTAAAAATTAAAAATAAAACAAAAACCCTACCATCGATATTAGTTTATTTCTACTAAAATCTATAATTAACATACAATATGAATTGTTTTTTATTTCTTTCGTTATATAGGTGGCTTCAGGCTTGTATAAATTGAAAATTAATTGGATTGTATTTTATCTACATTCTCGTTTGTACCAGCACCAATTTCCGACAACTCTTTATAGCTGAAATTTTGTTTGCAGTTAATTAGCCGTTGTAATAAAACAATTATTGGAAAATAAACAATAACAATGTTATTTCAATACAAATCTCGAGACCCTGTGCGGCATCTGTTATTCTTAAGTAAAAAATCTGAAATAATTAGGGCATTTTTTTTTTTGACATTTCAAACTTATTTCTATACTTCGCTCCTCAAAATCGAAATTAACGACCACGCTAATTTATATATACGTATATAAATATACAACCCGTTCTGGGTTATTATTAGTAATTAGTAATTAGCAATTTATCAGATTCTTATGACCAGTGGACTTCATATTGGTTCGTATTGGCCCAAAATAAGACCTCTGATTTTGATGTTGCCGTAATTTTAAATATTTTGAAACTGAGTAAAACACTAAGTAATAGGTTTTTTTTTAATAAATAAAACTTTTTTATTATTATCATAGAATTAGACACTCGAACCAAATGTTCTAATTATAGTTCAAAGATGGGTTGAGTACAGTTAGGATTTTTTTTTGAAACTTTCGCCTTAACTTAAAACGTTTTGTAACTAGAAAAACTTAATATTTTTCTCCTTAAAATAAGTCGACAAATTAAAAATAGCAACTAGTTCGATTTTTGTCAAAAATTCCCAATCTTTTGCCCCTTAATAAATAGCTTATTCCGTTTCTCTTATGTATTTGTATACAAAGATTATAAACGTTTTGAATTATTTGTCAAAATTGATAATAATTATTCGAGTTCGAATATCGAACATTTTTGTCGGTTGGTAAAATATTTTCAAAACGATGTGGGTATCATGTAAACAAAATATGAAAAACACCTGTTGGTTACACGCCACCTTTTAAGTATTATGACGTTATAAGAACAGTCATTACAAACTGTGTTGTTTCTTTTTAAAAGAACGCCAATGTATATTTCCCACATCTTAATGTTCATCCCGGATCCGAAACGTTAATTGGCCTTTATTAAACAACGTCATAAGTTGTAATACCATCCTATGTTTTTAGGTTGTAACCAAATATAAATATAATTAAATACAATACAAAAAGTTATGCACATATGTTTCAATGGAAAAGCCATTAGGATATGATGTGTAACCAAGGCCAGGGACTGATGCATAGGCGCAAATGCTAGGGGGGGGGGCTAGGGTGGGATTATCCCCCCCCAAAAAATTGAGTTATGCGTACAATTTTAAAATACAAAAATATATTTACTTATATATATATATATATATACTTAAAAAAATGTCCAGCTCCCCCCGAGTTAAAAATTGAAATTGCGCCTATGGGCTGATGTTAGGGCTGCCAAGATGGCATATTAGAAAGGTCGGGAGGAAAGGAGGACCATTTCACATTTGCCTCACTTGTAAACAATTTTTTTTTTTTTTGGTACTGCTGAAAAATGTTCTAACTGTGGATGACAAGTCCATGTAGATCGGGAAGAGATAAAGTTGAGCTATCAATGGAATCAACTCGTCTTTAGTGATCTCAGGGTTACCTGGCACCTGGAAAGAAACTGCATTACTTTAACAGAACAGGAAATAGCGAGGAAATAATGGGCGGGATCTAATAAAATAATAAAATACTTTAGGGCTCGGAGCCAGAGGCGGATCTAGTTTTTTTACGGTTATAAGCACTATAAATATACCACCCTTATTATAATTGAACCAAGGGGGGGGGGGATTGGGTAGGCTTGGTCGGAATACTGACAATTGTCCTACTTTTATAATTGCTCAAGTAAAAAATAAATAGTCCCAAAATAAATATAATAATAATCAAAATCGTGTAAACTTTGAAGACTTCAAAATATAACATCACTACGCCGATTTCATAGATGTTGTTTTTGTTTTTCGATACATTTCTTATTTAGTGCATTGGTGTATGGCTAACTGTAAGTAACTGTTTAAAAAAGCATGGAAAACCTCTCATTAAAATATGTTTTCCTCTTATTTCAAAAAAAATAACACAACTTAAAACATGTTTTTAAGACGCTTCTGAGTAAGAAAATATATATTATACAATTATTATTTAGACAAGTACCGAAAATGATAAAACCATATCATAGAATTTTTGAAAAGGTTTTAAAATGACCGGTAAACATTTTTAGGTGGTGGAAAAGTTTTCTTTATTAGATTTTTTTAACCGTAGTTTTTTTACTGTATAATGTACATGTAAAATTGGTTTTGTATTTATTCCAACGGATATATCATTTTCAAGGACAGAAAATACTGTGGCAACTTGAAAACGACAATAAGCATAAAGTTATAAAAATTATTGGTAGTAAATCGATAAAAAAAAAATAAAAAAAATGTTTTACAGTGAAATATTTTCGTATTCGAAAAAATTGTACAAATAAGAACAATTACAGCAACAACAACTGCGAAAAACACAAAAACTATTTCGTTTTAACAGCAAATGAATAGATTTTCAATTTAATCTTATAAAATATATGTTTATATTTCATATTGTAAATTAATAAAAAATTAAGAAACCGAAATAATTATAAGCAGTATGGTACATTGCAAAAACCCAAAATGTTACAAAAAAAAAAATGTTATTTTAATAAAAATAAATATAATTCGTTTTTATCTAAAAAATAATGTTACTGTTAAAAAATACTCGATACAGCCTATTAAACAATATTGGCCATTGACAAGTCTGAAAACTTATGTTTTATAATTATTAACACGTTTCCAAATCCAAAGAAATGATGGAAACGATTTTAAAACCCACATTATGTATTCTTTAATTAAACTACCTTTTTTTACGGATAATTAATTATTATAATTTACAATAAATTTCCAAAAAATAAATAATTATGTTCACTACTGCTATTAAAACGGTTACGTTATTTAGACTTTGTTAAAAATTGAAAACAACCGAGGGCCTCTTCAACGTCTAAAAATGTAGTAAATAAGTAGAAAAATAATGTGCACGTGTATTGCTCAAATATACAAAAAAAGGTTTTATACTCAAGGGGATTTCATGCGGTATGTTTTTTAGGAGGTTAAAATTCGAAAATCGACTCTTTAAGGACCACGTTGTTCTCCGAACAGGTTTAGTTTACCTTAAAATGCTCATTGAAAAAAAAACGACCCATTTGAAATTATACACCAAACACAAAACGCCATTACTATTCAAATATTAAAAATAATATCATTGAAACGGAGTTACATAATTATGTTACACATTTTAACAATGTCGAGAAATCTTTAGTAAGATTATGAATAATATAGTTTTTACTATTTTGTTTATGACAAGGTTAAAATTGTTTTTAATAAGGAATCGATTTACATTTCATAAGAAATGATTGTTAGGCGATTGAATTTAAAGACTAGACAGCTTCACTTCTACAGTTTTGACACTCTTTTAAAAAATAATAGAACTTAAGTGTCACAAACTAGGAAACGTGATCGAAGAGCCGTTCGATTTAATAGTATATATAATAATAACTTATTACAAATATATTAATTAAATATTTGAGTTTCTTAATGGCAGGATAAATTTGATAGAATAGACAAGAGATTATTTTGGGCATACTGAAAGTGATGGTTTAGTCGTTTAGGGAAAAACATTTTCAGATTTATCAGGAGCCAAAAACAGTATTACTAAAGTTTTTGTAATTGGCTATCGTACACCTTCATGCAAAATTTAAACAGTGAAAAAATACAATTTAGGTTTCGTAAACCAATGGTTTATGATCTATAAGACACATAGTATTCTTCTGTGGACCAAAGAAAAAGGAATATTGTACTATTGAAAATGTAAAACTGAGAATTTAATCCATCAAAATCAGTTATTTCAATTTTACAATGATGGTTCTTTAAATGTTTGGACCAACAATTATTTTATTTAACTATTGGACTGACTAATGTAGCTAGTTTAGTTACAAACTTGTATACATTTTTTTAGATAATCTACCAATATACATTGACAAACCAAGATAATATCATTAACTCTATTTCCCTATAAGGGGTAAAAAATTGTTATATTTATTAAGATTAAGGAGTATTTTTAAGATTAGAGGTGGGTTTCGGCAACAACTTTTTTTTTTAATTAACCGACAAAATATTACAAATTCAACTTGTATAATAGATATGTATTTTTAATTTATACTCACCGTCAGTATTATTCAATTTTGATTTTTTTTTACAAACTTTGTTTTTATAATTTCATAGTATATTATATTTACAATTTTATGATAAGTCAATATTAAATGTATTCAAACTTGCAGCATTAAGAAAAATTATGTGATCATAGTCACATAGTATATTTGATGACTCAATCACTTGCCATATGTTTTTTTCAGCAATATATCTTTCACATAAGACTCCGGCAGGAGCTTCATCTTTTTTTGGTAAAAACCAGGCGGTATTTTTTCCCACAACAAATAAATCGTTTTCAATAGTAACGGCATCTGCATTTTAAAATACATTTTTCTGAATAAATCATATGAACGAGGTAATTCTTTCGTAGTATAAACTATTAGTTTCATCATTTTCGGAACTATTCATGTTGTCATTATTTATACTGACGGTTTTAACCAATTGCCGTGTCAAAGCGATAGTCACAGTACTACACTATAGTCACAAGAGTAAAACGTTGACAATCGCTCTAAAACTGCAATAGGTTTGAATCGTTAAAGAGCTAAAGATGGATCCGAAAATAATAAAAGTAATAAATTATATATTTGGATAAAATTTCTCAAACATTATTATTATTATTCACTTACTTGCATACATTTTTGTGTTGATCATATCAGGTAGCGTATCCCATTTTGAACTATTTAAGTTCATTTTGTAAGCACGTTAGGATTTTAAATAAGGGGTACCGCCAAATAAATATAAATCATTTCCTCTACTTGTAATGCCCATTAGATCAGTAGCTGTTGGCATTGGATTACAATGTGTCCAACATTCTTCTTGTAGATTATAGTAGACTGCACTACTTAAATAGTATTTACCATCATTACCACCGAACTTCATAGAAAACAAATCAATTGCATTAAACATAAAACGTAATATTAACATTTTTTTTTTTTAGGTTTGGCAGCTTTGGTTATTGGTATGATGAAATAAATATAAATCATATCTTCTGCTTGTTATGTCTATTAAAGCAGTAGCTGCTGGTATCGCGTTTAACAGTCCACCGTTTTTCTCGAACATTATGGCACTCTATACTACTTAATAGTACATTAAAATCTCCAAGTCTACCAAACTTCATAGAATAAAAAGTCAATTACATGAAATAAAAAACATTTAAACTACACATTTTTTTTTTTTTAGATTTGGTAGTCATGGTTATTAGATTGTTGAGTTGTTGGATAGTTTTGTTTGGGGTAAATACGATACTGGTACTATTGGGGACAATTAAAACTTTGGGTTTAGTTTAATTTGTTATTATAAGATCAATTTAGCCTAACATCAGATTTAATACGTAATATACTGCGCCACTACGTGTCAATATAGTATAAATTGTGTAAACCTATTAAATTTGTAACTTTCTAAAACCTATAGATTAATCTATTAATTTCCATACATGTATATAATAAGTTAAATACAATTTCATACTTACAACATATAGACGAGAGTTGTGAATTATTAAACTGCATAATTGCCGTGGGGTTGGCATTGGCTCTTCTATTTCGGCCCATACTTTCGAATATGTGTCATAATATTCTATTCAATTTAGTGTTATTCCTAAAGTATCTTCACCTCCTACCTATCGATAATAAACATATTAAATATATATTTCAATATTACATGTATTTGTTGACTCAGATATATTGTGTTATGAATAACCTAAATTGATACACACCACATATACATAATTTCCTTGGGTGCAAACAGAAAAATATAATCGTGATCTATGCAAAGGCGTTGTAGGAATCTACATTTTCGATGTAGTAGCCAGATCAAGTTCATAAACACAATTACTCCATTTCTTTAATTTATTATAACCTCCAATTGCAAGTAGTAATCCAGTTTCCGAAACGGCCAAAGTGCACGCTGACGGGGTGGACAAAAAAATGAATAATCACATGATTTCCAATTAAGATCATTTTCGCACCTCAGATCCATATACATTACATAAGAATCATCACCATTTGATTGACCTTTAATTGCGAAAATAATCTGAAAACAAATTATTCAATATTTTATTTTCTACAAATGTAAAAAGTATTCTACAGATATCCCACACAGCAAAAATATGTTTAACAAAAATAATAACATTTTATAATATCGTAACTATATTTCCTTATATTATAAAACAATCAAAATATATGGAATAAATTATTGAAACATGTGTGTTTGATTTTATTATAACTGTATTTCCAAAATACTAAAAAACGCAACATTGATTAATATAAAGTATTTTTACTAAGTAGGATGCCACAAATAAGTTGTAAGAAAAATATTTATATACATTTGGTTTATACAAATGAGGTGTCCTCTTTGTTGCTTTTGTAATGTTTTCATCAACATCGACAGATATGTAATTTTTCATGATATCTATCAAACCTAGAAATATTAAGCTAATATTAAAAAAACTCATTACAGGATACTAATATACTTTATGAAAATAATTTTAAATGTGAATTGTAAAAAAAACAATATTTTATGTTAAATATTATAGTGGAATCGGCATCGGTTTAAATACTCACAGTCATGTTGGCTTCTCATCAATGGTTCATCACATATTCGTAGTATCGTATTTTTCGAAATTAAAGGTAACTTCAAATAATTCAGTAAATTTGATAAATATTTACTTCGTTCTTCTAAATCATATTTTATCCATTCAAAAATGAAATCAATTATCTAAAACAAATATTAACACCATATGTGTAAAATCATACACAATTTTTTAAATAAATCATCACTATCTTTGTAAAAAAACAAGTGTGGGTAATAAGATGAGACAAACGTATATTAAATAGAGTAATGTGAACTAAAAATAATTAACTCATTTCTTTACATTTGTAGTTTACAAATTATTAAAAAAGTTGATCTAATAAACTGTTGGAATAATAATTAATATTCTATATATCAAGTAGTATTTCACAATATATAAATATGTTGTTTATCTGTATAATAAAAATACGTAGTTGTTAATCAGGAAATGTTATAGAAAAACAAAGTTGTTTTTGTAAGCACACGTGTATGTGTAGACGCGTGCAACCTTGTGGGTTAATATAAATAGCATTTGATCTAAGGGCTCGGGGCTCAGTATTTCTATTCAGTTTATACATATTACTAGTGTATTATTGTTTCACTGTGTTGTATATATTCTATGTATAATATATCTATTATTGTAATAACATTATTTGTGTTGAATACTTGATTATCATCTACTACTACTACTCGCACTCTGATACTATATTTATGTATAGTATTACAACAGGTTATGCGCCCAGACACTCAGACATATAGTCAAAGGCACACCGGACATCGAGAGTCAAGTATTTGAAGAACACAATTTTTTTTAAGATCACCAAGTAAGTGAATTATAGTAATTAAGCAGCACCTGACGAAGTGTATATTGGATATACATTTATCAAAGTCGTTCAAGAGTACTATACAAGTACGTCATCTATTGATATGGAAGAATCAATAAAGATTGCCAAGCTATGCAATATTGAAGGTTGGACACTTTGGAAATTTCAGATGAAGGTAATACTAACTTCATATGAGTTGGGTAGTTTAATTACAGGAGAGTATACAAAACCAGTGCTAACAAGCAAAGAAGCTGACGCCCAGAAAAGATATAAAGAGGATCTATTAAATTGGCAACGTGCTGACTCCAAATGCCAAAAACTGATAGTAACATCGGTTGACAACGGTCCAATGCAATACCTGATTAACTGTAAAACATCGTATGAAATGTGGACAAAATTACTCGCTGTCTATGAGCAGAAAAACGAGGCGAGTATACATTTAATACAACATAAATTTTTCAGTTACGTAAAGGACTCGGCTGACGATATGTCGACGCATATTACCAAATTGCAAAACCTACAGAATCAACTTAGTTTGATGGGACAACCAGTCACAGAATCTATGCTTATGACGAAAATTCTAATGACTTTGCCATCGGAGTATAAACATTTTTACAGTGCATGGGACTCAATGCAGCTAGAAAGTAAGAATTTAAATGAACTAACATCTCGGTTACTTATTGAGGAGTCGAGAATGTATCAAGGTAGTTCGGTAGTTGAATCTGTAGAAGAAAATAATGCTTTAACTGTTAGAAAGTTCCAGAAGAAATTTTCTAAAAAGACAGGCAGTGAAAAATTTGGTGAACGGAAAGTTGGGAATCCAAATGTGGGTACAAAAAAGATAGGACCCTGTTTTTATTGCAAAAAGGGCGGTCATTTCAAAAAGGACTGCAGGAAGTATAAAAAAGACCAAGACGATGCCAAGGGAAATTCGTCACAATCAAGTGAAACAGGACAAGCTTTTTACAGTGAACTGTTATTCACAGAACAAGAATCGGATAACTGGTATCTAGACTCTGGTGCTACTAATCATATGACGGGACATAAAAATTGGTATGTTCATTATAATCAATTTAAATCGCCAATTAAAGTGAAAATAGGCGATGGCACTATTTTATATGCGCAAGGTTCGGGTCAAATCAATATTATATGTTATGTTAGGAATAATCAGTATAATAATTTTATGACTAATGTTTATTATGTACCTGAACTAAAATATAATTTATTCAGTGTTGGTTCTACGTTGGACAAGGGCATAAAAATGAAGTCAGATAATAAAAAATGTATATTTTTACTAAACAACAAGATCATTTGTGAAGCGGTACGCAAAAATGGCTTGTATAATGTTAATATTAGAATACAGAACCAGCCAATTAACAAAACGGGTTTCGTCAACGATGTGCAGCCAGTAGCATCGGCCGTAGTAGCGGGTTCATTAACACTGTGGCACGAACGTATGGCACATCAAAACATTGGTTACGTAAGAAGTTGTTTACTTAAACATAATATTAAGGTGGAGAGTGACAATAACTTCACATGCGAGGCATGTATTATGGGTAAACATAGTAGAAAATCATTTCAAAGTCGTACGGACAAATCACAAAAAGTGGGAGAATTAATATTTACTGATCTTTGTGGACCTTTCCAGACAGATTCTCTAGGCGGGTCAAAATATTATCTTGTTTTTAAAGATGATTTTTCACACTTTAGAACTGTATATTTCTTAAAACATAAAAATGAAGTTAAAGACAAACTTGAATTGTTTATTAAATGTTTTAAAAATGAGACAGGTAATAAAATAATAGCAATACGTTCGGACAACGGCGGAGAGTTTGTTAATAAACAGGTTTTAGGAATATTAAACAAGTATGGAATCCGTCATCAGAAAACAATAGCCTACACACCACAACAGAATTCTTCAGAACGCGAAAATCGTACGTTAGTGGAGGCTGGTCGATCAATTTTATATTCCAGAAATATGGATTTATCATTATGGGCAGAAAGTATATCATACGCTAATTATACTTTGAATCTCACAGGTAAAAGCTCAATTAATAATAAAAATCCATATGAGTTGTATTATAATAAATTGCCTGACATAAATCACTTAAGAGTTTTTGGAACTAAAGTGTATGTACATGTACCCAAGGAAAAACGTCAAAAGTTAGATGCCAAGTCTAGAAGCGGTATTTTCGTTGGATATTCTATTGACAAGCGCGGGTACAGGGTTTATTTTAATGATACGAAAACGGTAAATGATTGCCGGGACGTTATATTCACTAAGGAAATAATAAATACAAATGAAGTTAGCATAAGCGAAAGTGTTACACAGGTTGACGACGAGAAGGAACAAGTCGTGAATGAAAAACCAGTTCAAAACGAGGAAACGGTAACCATACCTATAGTCACGGACACTCATGGGTACAGTTTACGAGACCGCAGCCAATTACAAAAACCGGTAAGGTATCGGTGCATGCTAAGTATATCAGAACCAGTTAACTATTATGAAGCGATAAACAGTGAGTATGCAAATAAGTGGGAAGAAGCAATGAATGACGAGCTTAAGTCGTTAATTGAAAATAAAACGTGGGAACTTGTCGACAGACCGATAAATAAAAGTGTTTTAAACAATATGTGGGTATTTAAAATTAAGTACAATGTAAATGGTCAAGTCGAGAGATTTAAGGCGCGTTTGGTGGTTAACGGGTCAAGACAAAAACCAGGCGTGGATTTTGGAGAAGTTTTTAGTCCAGTATGCCGATATGAAAGCATACGTACAATATTAGCGGTTTCTGCGGCTAAGAAACTTGAACTCAAACAATTCGACGTGAAAACGGCATTTCTTCATGGAGAATTAGATGAAGAAATTTACATGGATCAACCATTGGGTTTTAATGACAACTCGGGTAGAGTATGTAGACTACGTAAGTCTTTGTACGGATTAAAACAATCACCAAGAAATTGGAATTTTAGATTTAGACATTTTCTAGAAAAATATAATCTTAATCCAACTGATTCAGATCCATGTGTGTATATAAATCATGATAATAATGAAATAGTTATTTTAGCTATATTCGTCGATGATGGTTTAATTGCTTCAAACAGTATTGCAAAATCACAAGAACTCATTTCAAGTTTACAACAAGAGTTTCAAATCACACAAGGAGATTTAAATAATTTCCTAGGTAT